CCCACAGTGGGTGTTTGATAGTCACACAAGCTTGGACCTAAGCAGAGTCATGAAAAGCCCTTATGCAAATGGGATGGAAAACAGTATGCCCAGAGTAGCCAGCCCACTGGCCACAGAAAGGATGACAAAAGCAAAGGTGCCCTGGAATCTAGCCTGGAGAGGGTCACCAGCTGACCTGCAGACCCACGCATGAGCATGAGACCAGCAGAACTGCCCAGTCTAGCTTAGTTCCGCTAACCCTGGAGATGTGTGAGAAATAAATGTTTCTTGTTATATGCTGATGTTTTGTGGTTGGATAGTACACAAAAATAGCTAATTTATATGGAGGGTTACATTTTCTGTCTTTAAAAACCACTTGACCAATTAAAAAAGTTAGATTGTCTGAGTCAGACATACTATGAGACATTTCTACTTAACGAAATATAGATTCTTAGTACAACTCATTAAACACAAAAGGTCCCATGTGATCTTTATCAGACTGCTCTTATGTTAACAAAGATTACTTTGCTCAAAAACTTAGAAGTCTATATTGTAGACTTAGATTGTACCAATAAACTCAATAAAAAAGAAAAAAACTTAGAAGTCTATCCTACTACAGGTAGTTTAACAGCAAAAAGCTAATGCCAGGTGTGGTGACACACACCTGTAATCCCAGAACTTGGGAAGCTGAGGCAGGAAGATCTCCAAGAGTGTGAAGGCCAGCCTGGGCTACATAAGCCAGTTCAAGACCAGCCTGGACTACCTAGCAAAACTCTGTCTCCAAAAATCAAAACAAAACCAAACAAATTAAAAAGCAAAAAAGGAAGTGTTTGACTCTTCCAAACTGAGTTAATGTCTACAATTAAAATGAAGACCTGTGGAAGTAGTTCAAGCTCAAAAGAGTCCAGATCACTATATATAAGAGAAATATTCTCCCAGGCCAGGGATTTAGCACAGTGGTTCTGCTACCTGCCTCACAAGCAAAAGGTCCTGAGTTCAATGCCCGGTACCCCCCACAAAAAAGAAATACTCTCCCATATATTGTCAATACTCCACAGGAATTAACAAGAACTATGCTTATCTACTGTAGTAATAATAATAATACTAATTCTGCTAAGGATTAAACCCAGGACCTTATGCATACTAGGCAAGTACTCTACCACTGAGCTATATACTAAGTATCCCTACTGTAATTAGTGACAAATATATTTGAAGAGAAATGGGAAATGGTGCTCACAATACTTTAAGGCGTTCCACCAATCAAAAAAATATTTGCTGAATGTCATCCAAGTTTCAAGGGCTGTATTAGATATTATTAATAATTTACTTTTATGATCTTTAAAGAAACCAACAGCTATGCTGCCAAGTCGAATTGTAAGGTAATTAACCTAGGAGTCCCCGGAGACCTATGTCATCATGGCCTTTGCTGAGTTCCTTCTGAAAATAAATATGTGGGCTTCACTGTTACAAACTATTAATATAAAAATTATTAATCTTATAAGCTACGTTAATATCTCATTAATGATACTAGTAACCAGCCAACATTGGAAAGAGAGCCAGGTGTAGTGGCATATGCCTATTATCCCAGCACTCTAAGGCAGGAGGATCGCCACACGTTCAAGGCCAGCCTGGCTACATAGCAAGATCCTTTCTCAAAACACCAAAAAAAAAAAATTATTATTATTATTATTTCAAAAAGTACACTCTCTATGTCGCATATGCCTATAAACAAGTATTTTTGGTTTAGTTTGTTTTGGTTTTTGAGACAAGGGCTTGCTATGTAGCCCAGGCTAACCTTAAACTCATGGTGACCCTCCTGCTTCAGCCTTCCAAGTGCTCAGATTACAGGCTTGCACCACCATAAAAGGACTGCCCACAAACAAGGTAATAATAAGCAGCAGAAAATATTATTTAAGTACAATATGGCAAGAGAAAGTTGCATTATGATGATTCACTACACTTTTTTTGTTTTATTGTTTTTTTTTTTGTTTTTTTTTTTTTGAGTCAGTGGGACAAGGTCTTGCTATGTAGTTCCGGCTGGCCTTGAACTCACTATGTAGTCTAGGCTGGATTTAAACTCACAGTGATCCTCCAGCCCCAGCCTTCCACATTCTGGGATTGCAGGTGTGCACTACCACACCTGGCTATATACCCCACTTTTAAATTTGGGACATGACCACAGAATTTTTTTTTTTTTTTTTTTTTTTTTTTTTTTTTTTGAGACAGGGTCTTGCTATGTCGTTCAGGCTGGACTTCAACTCACTATGTAGCACAGACTGGCCTTGAACTTGCAGCAATTCTCCCGCCTCAGCCTCCCAAGTGCTGGGATTACAGGTGTGTGTCACCATGCCTGGCATGATCACAGATTTTAAAGAATGTTCTTTTCTGTCAGCAAAATTAACAAAGAAGCCCTTCCAAAGAAATCATATTTCAGAGGATAATCTAATTTTTTAAAATTTTGAGACAAGTTCTCACTAAATCACTAAATTGGCCAGGCTAAATTTGAAATTCCTACCTCAGTTCCCAAGAATGCTGGGTTTGCACATGTGTGCAGTCATCCTCACCAACAGATACTTTTAGACTTACTAGTTTTGGAGCACTGATGAACAGAGGCTTGAGAGAGGGAGAGTTTATCTCCAATGAATTTATAGAGTCACTTCTGAGAACAGAAATACACAGAAAATTTTTTTTGATTTGGGGTGCTGATTACAATTTTTCACTTGGAAATATTCAGCGAGTTGTATTTTTCAAATGTGTGCATTTTCTGTTGTATTTCAGTAAAAAGCTTTTTAATGAGGTAATGATATTAACAGCGCCAGAAAAATGTTTACAAATTAGAATTCAGAGGAAGAACTAGTCATTGTTTTTTGCTTTGGTACTGGGGATCGAACAGTAGTTGTTAATAAAAGTTGCAAGAGTCAACATGTATTAAGCAATTACACAGTAGGCACTGTGCTAAATAAGCATTTTATACTGCATAAAGCATTCCAGGCCAACACTCACTCCTCACCTGTCTTTTTCCCTACATTTTTTTGGGGGTGGGAGGGAGTTGAGACACGGTCTTACTCTGTAGTTCAGGCTGGCCCTGAACTCACTATGTATCCCAGGCTGGCCTCAAACTCATACAGTCCTGCCTCAGCCTCCTGAGTGCTAGGATTCCAGGAGAGACTCTAGGGCTCAGCTCCTAGCCCTCTCCTCTATCTATGCTCCTTACAATAGGCCCTATTACTTTTCTTCCCATTTTACAGAACACTGAAGCACAGAGAGCCAAATCTATATTCTCAAGACTTCAGTGCCTGTGTTCCTAACCTCCTCACCATTCTACCTTTTTTTGGCCTTTCACAAAAGAGGCAGGACATACATGTTCCACACTGCAGGGCCTTCATTAACTGAGAAAAGAGACACAGAAAGAGGCACATGGAACCCTCCTAATACCAGGTACTATGTCAGAGTGGGAAACAAAAGTTTCTGCAAATTCTGTTAGACAAGTTTCCTCCCTAAGTTTCTTCACTTTGTACTTCAGTACTTCTCAAGAAATGTAAAAAACACAGATTCTCAAATCTAGATGCTTGTAAGAATAATCTTTCAAGACTCCAGATGGGTACAGTAGTATATACTTCTAATTTCAGCTACTCTAAAGGCGAGGCAGGAGAATCACAAGTTCAAGACCAGCTTGGGCAACTTAGGGAGACCCTGTCTCAAACTAGAAAATAAAAAAGGATCTGACTCAGTGGCACATACTTATAACCCCAGCATTCTGGGAGGCTGAGGCAGGAAGACTGCAAGGTTTTTTTGTTTTGTTTTGGTACCAGGGATCGAACTTGGGACCTTGTGCTTGGGAAACAGGCAGTGGCACCACTGAGCTAAATCCCTGGACCAAGAAGACTGCAAGTTTAAATCCAGCCTGAACAATTTAGTGAGACCCTGCCTAAATTAAAAAAAAAAAATTGTTTTTTTTTTTTTGGTACCAGAGATTGAACTCGGGTCTTTGAGCTTGCAAGCAGGCCACCATATCACTGAG